TGCTATAGTCTGATAGTGCAGGGAGCTTCCAGGACCTGCTCTGATTCTGAGGAATCTTGCCTGGTCTTCCTGTTTTACAGATTATTAAATAGTTTGGCCATCATCCCTTGGCAGAAATTCCTACTCCTATAGCCTGGGAATGAAGCTACCATTAGGCCAATTTTTTCTTGCTTTGTTCACCTTGGTGGTCCCTGGCTAAGCATCTGATAATCTGAGAACACCAGTTATCAGGTTGGTCTGAAAGACAGTAGTCAATATGCCAAGGTAAAACAAGACTGAAGGAATGGTGTGCCATCTCTGAGCTGGAGATGGAAGTGACAGAGAGGCAGAATGATTAGGGAATGGGGCAGGGATGGTAAAGTTCTCAGGATAAGAAGAAAACCAGAGGTCTCTTGTTCACATAATGGAAATTCATAGGATCACTCCCCATTTGGAGCTAAGTGTGTAAGATATCACACAGTTTGTAAGCATCTTTCACATCTGTAATCTCACCTGATCCTCAGTGGGGCAGTTAAACAGAGAAGGAAATGTAAGTCCAAAGAAGAAATGAGATCGTACAGCTAAGATTTGAACTGTGGCATGTGGAGACCAAATCCACCCTATCACAGTGCTTTGTTAATTACAAGCAGGGGCCATTAGAAATTTTCAAAAACAGACGAGATCGGGCGCGAATCTTTGACAAAGGAGCGAAGACTATGCATTGGAGCAAAGAAAGTTTGTTCAATAAGTGGTGCTGGGAAAACTGGGTCGCTACATGCAAAAGAATGAAGCTTGACCACTACCTCACACCATACACAAAAATCAACTCAAAATGGATTAAAGAACTAGACATAAGACCTGAAACCATAAAATACATAGAAGGAAATATAGGCGAAACACTACGGGATTTGCACATCAAAGACATCTTTACAGACACATCACCCAAAGCAGTGATAGTGAAGACAAAGATAAACAGCTGGGACTACATCAAATTAAAGAGCTTCTGCACAGCAAAAGAGACAATAACAAAAACAAAGAGAAACCCCACCAACTGGGAGAACATTTTTGCACCCAACACTAATGATAAAGGACTGATCACAAAAATCTGCAAAGAGCTGATGAGACTCAGCAACAACAAAGAAAATAATCCAGTCAAAAAATGGGCAGAAGAGCTAAAAAGAAACTTCTCTGAAGAGGAAATGCAAATGGCCAACAGACATATGAAAAAATGTTCAACATCACTTGTAATCAGGGAAATGCAAATCAAAACTACCATGAGATACCATCTCACACCAGTGAGAATGGCACATATTAAAAAAACTAGCAACAACAAATGTTGGCGAGGATGTGGAGAAAAAGGAACTCTTGTGCACTGTTGGTGGGAGTGCAAACTGGTCCAACCACTATGGAGAGCTGTGTGGAGATTTCTGGACCTACTAAACATAGAGCTTCCATATGATCCAGCAATTCCACTCCTAGGTATTTACCCAAAGGACACAGAAACATCAATTCCAAAGAGCACCTGCACTCCTATGTTTATAGCAGCACTGTTTACAATAGCTAAGCTTTGGAAACAACCCAAATGCCCAAAAATAGATGACTGGATCAAGAAGATGTGGTACATATATACCATGGAATATTACTCAGCATTCAAAAAAGATAAACACATGCAATTTGCAGCAACATGGATGGCACTGGAAGGGATCATGCTCAGCGAAATAAGCCAAAAAGAAAAAGAAAAATACCGGATGGTCTCACTCATAGCAGGAATCTAGAAAACTTAAATAAGGGACCAGGAAAATGAATATAAGAAAGTGAAAATCAAAATCAACAAAAAACTATGAACCAGAGACACTTTTTGGGGGGTGGGGGCGGGAGGGGAAGGATTGGGGTCAGAATGGGGCGTTTGCAATTGTATGGGGGAATATAAAAATAAAATTTAATATTTAAAAAAAAAAAAAAAAGAAATTTTCAAAAACAAAAGTGATCAAAGAGGGTCTGACATCAAACAAAATCCCTGGTTTTTAATAGCATGCTACCCATTTCGGTTTTATTTCACCAATATTCTTTCTTGGGACCATCATAATAACCATGCAAAGACCTGGATTTACATTATTGCCTACATTTTACAATGAGGAAATGGGATGTTCAGTGATTAACAAGTCACTTGCAAGATGAGTGATGGCAGAGCCAGACTGGAGCTCCAATACCCTATCCAGTGTGTATCACTGCCCTATACTATCCACTGCTACACACACATCCTGTGTCCTTCCAGGGAAGAAAAGCAACTGTTTGGGTCATAAAATGCTGAATCATTAGTTGCAACTGTCATGCGAGAGTGTTATTATCTACCTCATATAATTGAGGAACTCAGTTCTGAGGCATCATGGGATTTGCTCAGTCTTACAGGTTGGGATTTGCCTTCTCAAATGCTCATGAACTCTGTAAGGATACACACCCTTAATGTGGTGTAGCTTCACCAATGGAGGAAAGAGTATGGATTCTGGCTCTAGTCCTTAGAATCTATGTGATCCAGAGTCAGTTATTTTGTTCCCTAACACTGTTTCCTCTTTTGTAAGATGCAGATAATATTACTCTTTCTTGGATTATGCTCAGTGAAAAGGTCAGAAGGAAAAAGAAAAATATTGAATGGTTTCACTTATTGGAGGATCATACAGAAACCAAACAAAGGGTCAGAAAAAAAAAAGACAAAACTTGCAGGCAAACTATAGATCTAAGGCACACAGCTGGGGAGGAGGAGGTTGAGGGGTAAAAACAGGAAGAGACGAGCAGAGCACAAGGGACTAGGGTGACAGTTCATGGGTGATGTGATGATGGGAGACTTATGAGAACAATACCTGAGGGAAAAAATAAAATATTGTATAAAAATGAATAGTGACATAAGAAAATTTAAAAAAAAGTTTAATAAAAAAAATTATCCCTTCTCCAAAAGATTATAAGGGTTAATAACAGTAGCTATTTGGGTTTAATGCAAATGCTATTTTCTAACTTTACCATCTATGTCTTACTAACTACTCCAAATATCTCTATGGATTGGCTACCAGTTTTCACTTCCATTTTTCAGGTAAGCAATCTGAAGTCCTTATCAGTCAAGAGACACAAGTTAGTAGCAGGAAGGGCCAGTATTTGAAGTCAAGGTGCTTGAAGTCTGATCCTATAATAGTCTCTGGAGTTTGAAATCATGGAGTCTGACAATACAGTCCATGCTGCCAACTGCTATGCTCTACTGCCCACTCTGTTTAAAAAAAAAAAAAAAAAACTGGCACACAATAGGAGTGCAACAACCAGTGTCTCTTTTCTCATCATTAGGGCTGGTAACTGAAGTGAAATGAAGCGAACCTGGGATGGGCCATTCATTGGGACCAGCCCACAAAACAGTTTAAATACCCACCTCAGGAGCATAAATGAGGAGAAGCAATAACTCCTCTATGGATGTGAAAGTAACATAAGCATCAGTAAGCTTAAATGACCTGATGGAGGCCTCAGAGAGAAGCCCTACATTCTAGTTTATGTAGGGTCCCATATCATCTGTGGAAGATTTGGGGATTCCAGGCCATTAGTCTGTCCTCTGGGCTTGGATGGGAGAAAGGTCTCAAGGAAAACCACATGGGTTCTAGAAACATTGAGAAGACAGATGAGTCTCTTACTAAAGATTAAAGTATTGAATACATAAATTAAATGATCTATGGCCACACCTAAACACACACATTTTTATATATACATACATACACACCATTTTCACAACTTTTCTTCTATCTTTCACATACTCTGCAAACACTCTCTTCAGCAGCTGGCAAGCTGCTCCTCATTCTCCCACTCAGCTGAACACCAGTTGTCCCGCCATCCCACCCCAGCCTCTCACAATGGTTTCAGCTTCCAAGAGACAGCTTAACTTAAAATGCCATCCAGTTTATGCCAGGCGAGGACTAGGATTCATCCAGCTGGGAGGGACAGAAAACACAATAGCCGGAACCAGCATCCTGGGAGAGCACCACAAACATGAGCACCTGCAAGATATTTCTACCCAGAGGTGGGGCTGTGACCTCTGGAAATCACCAGAGGAGTATGGAGGAGTATTTCCTAGTGAAAGAGTGGTCTTCAGTATTAGTGTCTGCCCTCAACCTGTCTTTTCAGGAGTTCAATGTATAAGACACATTATATACTTCACACTTCTTAGTTTGCATCTTGTTTTTCCTCACCTACTGGTGCATAAGTACCTCACTTTATCCTAAATTTTATTCACGTGTTAGCAAGAAACTGCAGAGACTTAAGAGTTAAAGACTCTGAAAGTCTGAGAGTTTTTTGATTTATATTTCTTAGGTTTCTTTGTCTCCATTTGCCTGTCAATTGCCTGTAGATAATCTTCTGTGGACGTGTCTGTGCTAGGACATCATGTGGAAGCAGATCTTGACCCCATCCATGGACATGGAGGGGGTGGGGGGTGGAGGTCAGTCACCAAGCTGAAAAAATCATAACTTCTCCCCTGTGCAAGGGGTTAGTCCAAGAGGTGAGTACATGACCCAAGCCACTCAGTATCCTTTTCCTGTATTTTCCAAACCTGCCCTGGGAATGAGAAATGTTCCCTCTTATTTGATTGCAATACTCTGAGGACATGAGCCAAGCACGGCCTGCAGCCACTGTTCCAACTCACTGAAGAGAACTGCGCAGAGAAAATGGAAAGATAATTAAGCTGAGAGGATTACTTTTTGTGGTGTTTCTTGGTTCTTCATTCTCTGGTTTCACAAGCCAATAAACTGCTCACTTGCCTGCTTGGGTTTTCTGTAAATGAGGTTGCTTCACTGGGTTTTGTTTTTTGTCGAAAGTGGTCAGGGTTTGAAATATGATGGAGTAGAGGAAAGAGTTGATAAGGTATCAAGCCTCCAAAACCTTGTAATATTATAGTAGTCAAGGAGGAACAGACTCTCAGAGTTTATATCTCAGTTATCACAATGTGTTGCTAAGTTACCACATACACACATATACATACACACATGATTCAATTCAAAATGACTCAGACACAAAGGGAATTTGTTGACCTACACAGTTGATAAGTCCAGAAGTGGCTCTCACATACATATAGCAAAACTGGATCCAAGAGCTCACTGTCACAACAGGTCAGGCCCTCTACATTGCTTACTTCTGCTTTCTGCCTTGGGTTCCATTCAGACCACCAAGAAAATTCTTGGAAGGCAGGCTAATGGCTGCCCCAGTTATGCTGACTGTAGCCCCACTTAGTTGTGAAAATAATTTGAAAAATTTAAGTATCTTCAATGGGAATTGTGCTTCTGTTTTTATAAAATAATTTCAAAATCAATGATCACTGTGTGTGTGAGATTAGAGTCTCATGAAACTGTATGAAAAGATACATGTCAGGCCATTAAAATTGCTTGACTGAAGTAGGGAAGTGGAGACAAAAATGTGAAGGACTTGGCAGGAAAGTATTCTTCATAATAATAGTATTTAAAGCGTTATTAGTGTTATGTTGGTTTTCCTGTTTCTAGAGGCCACTCACATTCCTTGGCTGGTGACTTCTTTTTCCATTCGAAGCCAGTCATGAATGGTTGGGTCTTTTGATATCACTTCACCTTGACAGTGACTCTTCTGCCTCTGACTTCCACATTGAAGGACCTTCATGACTATACTGGATCCACTTGGATAATCCAAGATAATCTCTGTGTTTCAAGGTAAACCGATTAACATATTTATTTCTGCTACATTCATTCCTTTTGCCATGTATTGTAACATATTCCTAGGTTTGGTATTAGAATATGGGCATCTTCAAAGACTACCTACCATACATTATGATCCCATTTATGCAAATATGGATGCATATAAACATAAAATGACAAATGGAAGATGCTATCAAAATAATGGTTATCACAGGCAGTAAAAGTTGTCTACTCTTATTCTCTCTCTCTATTTCTCTCTCCACACACACACACACACACACACACACATACACACATACACACACATACACACACACACAGAGTAACAAAGCTAGTTTTGTTGATGAAAATGATCAACTTTCAGTGGATGAGACCTAACTCCGTGAACTATCTGAATTGCTGGGCCCTGAAGGTCTGTGGGAAATGGAAAGATCCAGTCTCACAGGAACTTTGTATCCACTGTACCTCCCTCCCACCAAATCCCATCTTCTGTACATAATAGAAAATACTGAGCCAAGGCAATAGAAAGACTCCCATCTGTTAATAATCCAATTAGAGAAATGCAAAGCCAAGCGGAACATGCAGACTGATAATTGTGTAGAACCTATTTTGCAGTGGAGCCACATGGAGCTGGGGATGGCAAGGGAGGAAATAAGGGTAATTCTGAAGGTCTCAGAATATACATCCCAAAGGAAGTCTCTTGCTCCTCCTCTCACCAAAGCATACTCCAAAATGTCTACTCATTTTGTCACCCTCCAGCTAACCCTTTCCATGTTATCGGTCACATGCACATCCCTTTCAACTTCTCCATTTCCTGGCCCCAGGGGGTTGGCACAGCAGTCCTCCAATAGCACCCTCTCCCCATCTCCCCATTAAATTTTGCTCTCCAGAAGACCATCTGTTATACCAACATTACCTGAATCATGAGATATTTATTGGGTGTTGAAACACTTGATTCTATGGTCAAAACTTGGTAATAGAGCAGAAACAAATTAAATTCATTGTTTTTTCTCTGCAGAACACTGAAGAGCCCTTAATGTGCTAATATGCACTGCAATGCACTGCCATACTCCAAGTGGTGGCTACAGAAAACAGTAAATCCACCTGAATGTGGCATCATTGAAAAGGATGGTGAAATTAGGGTTCCATGTTGTTAGAAATAGTGTTACAAACCAGTGTGTGATGGTAGGGCATGCCAAAGATCTAATCTTGATGTTCCCCAAAGCATTAAAGACCATGTAATCCAACTCTTCTATTTTAATGCTGAATAAAGGAGCAGAGAGAACAAATGCTTTGCCTGAAGTCCCATAGCCAGTTAGTGGCAAAGATGGGAGTCTTTTTGCAGTACATACTCCCTTACTCACTATTTCACACCATCTCAGGTTAACTTTACCACATATAAAAAGAAGGCACAAAAATATTTAAAAAATAAAAAAACTAAAAAGAAGGCACGATGCGTGTTAACAAATATGTGATAGATCACGAATTATCCCTGCACACTTTGAGCCTTATCTAAGTTGGAATACTGATTTCATTATTTCTTGAAGTCATTTCAGACATCAAGGTAAAGATAACTTGAATAGTTTTTTGATTTCTGATGGTGGTAAGACAGTGGGACATGTAGAATTGTAATGCCCCTTCAAGGTTTCATCTTTCAACCTTCTACTTGGAACAAGAATTTCATCTATGGCACTCCAGAAAGATTTTAAGAGATACTCTATTAAAGTTTGATTGATATACAACAAACTATACAGAATTAATACACTACCCATTTATAATCTGATTAGTTTTAATGCATGTACAATGATGAAACTATCGCCACAAACAACAGTAAACACAGCCATCACCCACAAATGTTTCTCATTGCCCCAATGTAAATCCTGCCTTCACTCCCTCCTAATCCCCCATCCCCAGCAACTACCGATCTGTTTTCTATCATTATAGATTAATTTACATTTTCAGGAGTTCTAAATAAATGAACACAAAGAAAGTATTTTTTTTTTTTTGGTCTGGCTTCCTTTACTCAGCATAATAATTCTGAAATCTATTCATATTTTTAACCTGCATCAACTTACTCATTCATTGCTAAATTGTATTTCTTTATGTGTGCATATATCACAATTTGTTTATCCATTCACCTTCTTTGGGCTTACATCCAGTTTTGAGCTTCTACAAATAAAACTGTTTATAGACACTCATGTCCACATGCTTCCTTTTCTCTTGGGTAAAAATGAAGGAATGGAATGTCTGAATAATATGCTGGTACATGTTTGGCATTTAAGAACATACCAAACATGTTTCTGAAGCAATTGTAGCACTTCACTTTTCCCAACAGGGGTGTGTGAGAGTTCCAGTTTCTCTACATCCTTACCAACATTTGGTAAAGCTTAGTTAGTCTTACTAATTTTAATCCTTCTAATATGAATTTAATAGTACATCATTATGGGTTTAATTTTTTTAAGTACATCGAGAAGCTCCAATTCTATATTATCTCTAGTGACAAACTGTTGTCACCCATATTTTGTTTCTCAGTTCACAGTATGCTTATCTATCCCTAGCTACTTTTAGTATTTTATCATTAGTTTTGAGCAATTTTATGATAGTGTAACATGATGTAGTTTTCCACATTTGCTTTTGGGGTTCATTAAGGCTTATTATCTGTGGGTTTATGGTTTTCTTCAAAACTGGAAAATATTCTACATTATTCTATTAATAATAGAATTAATCAATCAATTAATTAATTATTTTTTTCTATTAAAAAAATCCCCCTCCTTTTTTACTGACTTGAAATACATGTATGTTCTACAGTTTATTGATATTCTTTTTATTTTATTTTTATTCTTCTTAATTTTTTAAAGATTTATTTATTTATGCATACAAGACCTAGGGTATAGGCCTGAGGTGTGTGGGGTGAGAAGATTCACCAGAGACAGACTAGGGAGCAGAACAGGCAGACTGACTGAAATACACTACTGAGGGGAGCAGCAGGCCAGTAAGGAGAGGTCTGCTGCACCATGTGGGTTGCTCCCTGGCCAGAGATTGAACTCGTGTTACAGTGGCTTGAGGATAGCTTCTCAGGTTGCGTCTTAACCATTGCACCACCAGGGAGGCCCTGATATTCTTTTTATTAAAATTTTTTCTTGTGCTTCATTTTGGATAGTTTCTTTTGCTTTTTTTCAAGTTCACCAGCATTTTCTTCTGTGATGCTTACTCTGGCATCAATTCCTACTAGCATATAGCTTTCATTTTTAACAAATCATAGTTTTAATGCCTAAAAGTTTGAGTTTACTCTTTTTTTAACCTCCATGACTCAATAATGTGTTCAATCTTTTTCTGTATTTGTGAACACATGGGATACAATTATAAAAAAGTTCTAATGTCCTTATACACTAATGTTATCGATTTCATTTCTAAGGCAATCTAAAATGATTGGCTGGTGATTTGGGTTAATATAAGACATTGTCAGTTTTACATTATTGCTATTAGATATTTTTGTATTCTATAAATATTCTGTATTCTATAAATATACTTGAGTTCCTTTCTGTAACACTGTTAAACCACTTGGAGAAAGTTAATCCTTTTTGTTCTTGGTTATAAGTCTTTTAAGGTTAATTTTAAACATACTACTAAAGTAAAACCCTTTTGACTACTCTCCTTGAGATCAAATTAATTATATTTTCTACTCTAGTTGGTGAGAAAAGCACTAATCTTGGCCCTGTATATATATATACATATATATATATATATATATATAAGTCCCACAGGGTGTTTATTAATTTCACATGATTCTTTCCTTAGTGTTGAGTAATTTACTCACATACATACACATCATATTCATATAAATACTTGAGGGCACTATCCTCAGCTCTCTAAAGTTTTCATTTTGTGCAATTCTCTCTCTCCAATATTCTGTCTCATAAACCCTAACTGCCTTAGTCTCTGACTCTTTAGTCCATCTTTTCAACTCATGGATTCCAGCAGGCACAGTCAGAATTTCTTCTTCTGTGGTGCAGCCTAGAAACTTTCCCAAGGCAGTAAGCTGTAGTGATTTTAGAACTTACTTCATATTTTTCCTGTCCCACATGGATCATAATCCTTTGTAACTTGATGTCAAGTATCTTGAAAACTATTGTTAAATAACGTATTTCTGTTTTGTTGGCAGTAGGATAGTTTTATTCTGGTGGGTAGGTGAATCTGATCACTTTTAGCCTATACTGCATGAGCATCCCTTCTTTTATATATATATATATATATATATATATATATATATATATATTTAAATATTTATTTATTTATACAAGAACTGGGGTACAGGCCAGAGCAAGGGAGGGTGAGAGGATTCACCAGAGACAGAGTGGAGAGCAGAACAGGCAGACTGACGAAATAAACTGCTGAGGGGAGCAGCAGGCGCTACAGGAGAGGTCTGCTGCACCATGTGGGACCCTTGCCTGCTGGACGGGAATCGAACCAGTGCTGCAGAGGCTGCAGACAGTGCACAGCGCGGCGCTCAAATGCCTGCACCACCGGGGGAGGTGCCCTTCTTATATTTTGATAAAAGTTTTTCATTAGCTTTGCTTTGGCCCACTTTTTCAAAACTGAGTGTTTTTCTTTTTCCTTTTTTTAAAAGGATTTATTTTATTTATTTATGTATACAAGAACTGGAGTCCAGGCCAGAGATGCAGGCGGTAAGAGGACTCGTCAGAGAAAGAGTAGGAGCAGAACAGGCAGATCTACAGAAATACACTGCTGAAGGGACCACCGGCAAGACAGGAGAGGTGCCGAGTGGGTTAACTCCTTTGCAAAGGATCGAACTTGTGCTGCAGTGGCTGGCAATAACTTGACAGTGCTGAGTCTTTAACTCCTGCACCACCAGGGAGGCCCCCCAAAACTGGGTGTTTTTCATGCAATTATTCTTCACCATTATACTTCTTTCCTTGGGGTGTTCTTCCCAAAGTTTCAAATAAACCCACATGTTAATGATTCTCAAATTTCCATCATCATCTCATTTTATTTTCTAATTTCTAGATCTGTCTAACTAATGACTTATTGATCACCATTTGCTAGATCTCTCATAAGGTGCTTGAATTCACATGTACAAAATAAATACCACCCCCCACATGTCCTGCCAGTCTTTATTTAAGTCCCCCTTTAGAATCCATTGCACCATCTGCAACTAGTTGTTTGTTCTAACATTCCTTAAATTGTTAGTTAGAAGTTATGTTTTTGTCATTGTCGTCTTCTAGCACCTAACACAGCTCCTGACACTGAAGAGCTTCTTAATAAAAATGTTGAACTAAGTTAAACTTCACATATAAGGAGATCTGCCACAGGCATGGGAGAGAAATAGTCCAAGTCAAAAGCTATCACTGCTGAATAGGACCAGGTCCTTCTCTCTGAAGTGATGATTTGGGAAGCCAACTCAGTTTGGGGGGATTGGCTGACTTCTCACATTTGACCACTGTGAAGGCATACCTGCGGATAAGCATGAATGGGACAGTAAATGAAAATAATGGAAGGAAGCCAACTTTGTGGATTCCTAAATGCTAAACTTTACCTCTTAGAGCTGTGTCCAAATTAACTACTCTTATTGTTCCCTTCTGTAATGAATGTGCTTATACAAAATTCATTATACAGAGTTTCTGAAGAGTTTTGAGAAATTTTATGTGAAGATGTTTAATCTCATCAATTGTATTATAAATTTTAATTAGACAAAACCCATTTTCTTAATTGCTTTCGGAGACTTTAAAAGCAAGGACTGTATCTCTTTATCAAACTAGGTGCATTCCAGAGATTAGAACCATGGCTTTTTGTTCCTCCCAGAGAAAAGTAAAACATAAAAAAATATTAAACATCTATACAAGGCATGAAGATGCAGGATTGGCGTGGGGTAATGCAATCCACATCTTGTCTTATGCCTCACATTTTTTGCCACACTTCCCCTATGCATGCTACAACCATGCTCCAATCATATGGGGTAGCTGGGCTGTTTCACATTGGCAAGCCAACTTCAATTTTGTGTAAAGCTTATTTGCCAGGGAAATCTTGGCTCAGCTTCTCTGTATGCAGACTGTCTGGCAGATCGTGCTTATGTCTTTGGGGGAAGTTCTCTGTATACTCTACCTCTGTTCAAACTAGCTGGGCAGATTTAGAGTTAACAGGGATTTGGAGAGTAGGCCAGACAGGTGTAAATCCTTCTTCCATCAAACCAAATATTAGAAAACTCTTTCCATC